GCCACCGCCAGTCGTTGCCACCCTCTTCTGCCTGCTAGCACCCACCTTGGCTGGCCTAGCGCTGCGCACAGGCCGGCCCCACCCCCCCACCAACCAGTCATTGTGCCGTTCAGTCAATTTGCATATTAGGCTTTTATTATATAGGATAAAGAAAAAAGTTGTTGCAAGCACATCTATCAAAAGTCATTTTTCCAGTTTTTATCACGCTATTTACTCAGAAGGGTAAAAAACATGTTGTGAGCAAGATATTAGAAAAGAAACTAAATTATTTGTGTTTAATGGGCCAATTTAATGAGCAACTAAATTGCAGAATGAACTATAATGCAAGTCTCTCCTTCTATTCTATCATCAGACAAATTCAATGCAGACAAATCAACTAATATTTTTTAGTATCTTGTCTGTATAGGCCCAATGCTACAGTACAACGGTGTTTTAAGACACGGTCCTGTTTTCAAGGACTTTATAACCTAATTGAAACACAAGAAGCCATGCGAATGAGAGAAGTTAAATAACAATGAAATATTTCAAGAACACCTTCACCACAACTGATGTTTCAAAAAGAAAATATGCACCATCACTTTGCTTTGATAAAGCAAATTAATTTTACACTTGCTAGGAGAATACAGAAGAAAGAATACAGAAGAAAAGTAAAATGCTTGGGAGAGAAGCGGCCCAGGTGAAGGCTGACTTTATAGGGAGGGCTGGAACTCCTTCTTAGAGCGTTTCCATAAGCAGATAAGAAGGCTCTCTTGGTAGGTAAAACTGCAGATAATATTAGCTGTGGGAAAGAGCAAGGTGTATTTGGCAGTGAGTAAACAATACGAGAACAGAGGAAATCAATAGAAAAAGTGACTGATTAGATATGGAGTCGAAGAGACAGGAGAAGCATGTGTGTCTCCAGCCAGGAGGATGGTGATCATTAACAGACAAAAAAGTTAACAGGTGGCAGCTGATGAACTCTTCAATATTAGATATCTGGAACGCTGGGTGGGAGTGAAATACCCAACAGGCTGTTAGACATTCAGGTCAGGAGCCAAGGGGAAAGGTCAAAGTTAGAGATATGGCTTGAAAATCTTCAGTGCAAGAGAGCTGAGATAAAACAGAGCAAATGGGCGGACTGGACCTCAGGGAATGCCTGAAATGTCTGGTAAGAGAGATAAGAAAGATGCCTGCTGACTGCTAAGCAGGAAGTAGCAAGTGCCATGAATCACATTAAGTGTGATAACCATTCAGAGAAGGGAGAGGTGTACAGCAGCAGAGCGGAAACATTCTCTTTCAAGAGAGAATTGATGATAATGAGCAGGACAGGCTCACAGCGGAGCCAGATGCTTCTGTAAGTCATTTGAAGGGATGCATGGTTCTGGCTGGATGGCTCACCTGTTAACAACAGAAACACAGAGGAGACTGATTAAACTTATTTGCGAAAAGAACAAAATTAGCCGACTTTGTTTGGGGCTGGTTTACTCTGTTTGATTCTGTGTTGATCTTAATGGCCTAAATTTGCAAGTTTCTGCTTCACCTTTATTCATTTTGATAAATTCAGAAAGTGCAAATTGCAGAAAATATTTGATGAGGATAAAGCCAGCTCAAATAAATAAAGTATCAAGTTACATGAACAATGGCCAGTTCCTCCTTTTACTATTGATGCTATAAATACATCTTAAGTTCCATACAAATTACACATACAGGGTACTCTTGTCCCTGCTTCATTAACAGAGACACACATTTACATACCCACGTTAATTAGTTCTCATGTTACAGATGATGCCATCATGACATCGTTAAGAAAGTACAATTCATCCCAACCACTGGTAGAACCAAAGAGCTCTAGCAATGTAAATAATAGTCATCGGTTATATTTCATTTCAGTAGAGTGTGAAGAATAGAAAAGCATACAGGTTTTTAAAAAGCTACCTTGCTTTTTTATTATTAAATTTGGGAGAGAGAGGAAGGGAGAGAGAGAGAGAGAGAGAGAGAGAGAGAGAGAGAGACATTGATGTGAGAGAGAAACATCGATCAGTTGCCTCCCATTCTCACCCGACCAGGGATTGAACCCACAACCTAGGTATGTGCCCTGACCTGGAATCAAACCGGCAACCTTTTGGTGTACAGGACAATGCTCCAACCAACTTGGCCACTCAGCCAGGGCTACCTTGCTTTTCATTTTTATTTTTAAAGTTTATAAAAGAAGCCATAAGTCCTTAGTCACCAGACACATACACATGAACTATTCTGGTCTATATCTGCTCCAAGTGCTGTGCTCCAGGAATACTATGTGTAGCAACTGCTATTTTAACTAGCTTTTCAAGTGGCTCAAACCTTAAAATTTGAGAACCATGACCTAGGTGTTCTCACGAGACACAAGGGTAGTTGAAAGGGGGCAGGCGCCCCAGTGAACAGGACCCAGCCCTTCCTTTGCCTTTTCTCCCTGCTAAGTGAAGAAGCTCTGCTTTATGGCCTTCTGGCACTGGGCTGTCATCCTTTCCATTCATTGAGCCAGAAATCTGGGGGTCACCCCTCCCCTCCCACATCAATCCACCAGCAAGTCCTGTCAATCATCTTATCAAAATATATATCCAAATCTGCCTCCCCACCTTAAGCAAGCCTGCCATCTTCTTTTGCCGACTCCTGCAAAATCCTTCTAAGCCATCTCCTTGTTTCTGCTCTTAGCCTCTTCTAGTCCATTCTTCTTGGGACACCAATAATTTTTTTTTTCAAAACTTAAATTAGATCACGTTGCCTCACAACTTAGAAGCTTTCTATGCCCCCAAAGCATTCAAACAAAATCTGGGCTCTCCTGACCATGGATCATGTGTGTGTCATACCCCTGCCTATCTCTATATCATCTTGTGCCACACTCCCAAGGTCTCAGTATCATTCTAGTCACATGTTTCCTTGTTTGTTTCCTCAGCACCAAGCCAAGGAGGCAGAGGACTCTGCATTTGCTCTCCTTTTTGCAAACACCTCAGCTTAAATGTCACTTCCCAGAGGTCTTTCAAGACCATTCTATTTAAACTCAATTTCCCTCTCTCCTTTTTTCTCTATCCTAGCACTTTTTGTTTCCTTCAGAACACTTATTACAACTTAAATTTTTGGTTTGCTTTCATTTTGTTTGGCTCTAACCTAAAAGCTCAATGAGTGTAGGAACCGCGTCCATTGTGTTCACCACTGTGTCTCTGGTACCTAGTATGGGGCCTGGCATACATTAGGAACTCCATTCTTGGATAAATGGATGAAATCATCCAAAGTTATCAAGGTGTGGAAATCCCTGACACAGACAAATTAGAAACTTCCATTTTGGGTGGGGTGACAGTGAAATCAGGTGGTGACAGCACTTGGCGATTCTCTCAGAATGTCAGCTTGACACAAGGATTAGCCACATGTAGTCAACAAAGAAATAGCACTTTTCTGAATGGTGCCAAAATATGTTTAGTCCTTGGTTCCATGAAATGACTCTTCGATGCATTTGAAATGGTCCCAGAATTGAAGCCCCGACAGCCTTCACTTGACTCTTCCTTCATCTCCTTATTCATTTGAGCTCCTTCACCATACCCACATGTTTATTGTGTTTTCCTGTGTGATACTGAGTCACTTTTTCTTAATTTAATAGTAAAATCCATATCTATCTTCTTTTATTGGGTTTATGGAATAATAGAATGTCTGGCTTGCCCAGAATTTCTGCAGATGTTATCCTGAAGCTATTTTCTAAAACACTGTTGTGCGCCCGACTGGTGTGGCTCAATGGTTGAGTGTCGACCTATGAATCAGGAGGTCATGTTTCAATTCCTGGTCAGGGCACATGCCTGGGTTACAGGCTTGACCCCCAGTCGGGGTGTGCAGGAGACAGCCAATCAATGATTCCCTCTCATCACTGATGTTTCTATCTCTCTCTCCCTTTCCCTTCCTCTCTGAAATCAATGACAATATATTTAAAACACTGTTGTGCCCCCAGTTACCCACATTTTGCAGCACCATCATGATGCCTATTTGTAACCGGTGGCAGCTGGAGTGGTGCATCTTTTGTTTTCTCACTAGTCCCTCTGCAGTAATCATTCTTTAGATTAGGTACTAACTATGTTCATTATTAGTATAAATCACACAGTTTTTAAAAATGTTTTTTTTAATTGACTTTTAGAGAGAGGGGAGAGAATGAAACTTTGGTCGGCTGCCTCTTGCATGCTCCCCACCTTGGATCAAGCCTGAAACCCAGGCATGTGCCCTCACCAGGAATCCAACTGGCAATCTTTGGTGCATGGGACAGTGCTCAACCAACTGAGCCACACTGGCCAGGGCTAAATCACTCTCTTTTGAATTGTCTCAGCACCAACATTGCCAAGTAGTCTGGCTCACTTCAAGCCTAACTGTAAAGTTGACAATGGTTGCTGTCACTCATTATCAGGCATTTACTCCACTTTTTTCAACTATTTTATGACTGAATGGAGAGAATATGGATTATGTGGTAATGTGGGCAAGTCATTAACTTCTCTGAGTCTGTCATAAAATTAGAGAATTAGATTAGGTTGGAGGTTAAACTACTGAGCAATGAGGCAAATTTAGCTCTCAGATGAGCTTGGAATGGCCCTCACGGTATTTTAAATGTTCTCATTCATTGGCAACTTATAAAATTGGGAGGTTTCCCATAAAACTCCAGATTTCTTTCTTCTCTTGAAAGAAATCTGAATTCCCTTGAAATATCTGGCTTCAGAGATTCCCATTCTTCTCACATTCACAAATGACAAGGGAAGGAGGTATGACTAACTGACCTCATTTCTCTTCTGATAGCAGCTGAAGGCGGTTAGGCCTCGTGCCCCTTTTTCTGGTGAAATCCAAGGGACTTACAAGAACCAGATTTAGAAAAGGAAACTCTCTTAATTGCCTAGAAAATTCTTTGAGGAAAGAGGACCAGTGACCTCACCTCTACCATAGCCGTGGGTCACGGTTCATGTGTGGTCTCACATTTTTTTAATATGTATCACAGTTCGTTGGCTTGTTGTTGTTTTTTCTGGTTCACTGTTCCTGGAAGTACTGAAACATCAGATTGATGCGTGGCGTGGACAGAGCAAGGTCCTATTTCATCTCCCCCAAAAATCCACTTAACAAAATGTCTTCAGCTGGAGGACGTATCAGATGTTAAACTGATAAGAACAGATACTACACTTGATCTGAGCCAAAAAGCTGAGAAACAATGAACAGGTTTGTTTCTTTAAAATAATTGGGAGAGCCAGGCCATTGCGACTCAGTTGGATGGGTGTCATCCGTGCACCAGAAGGTTGCTGGGGCTCCATCCCCGGTAGGGGGGGGCATGTCTCACTCCCCCTCTCCCTCTCTCTCTAAAACCAATAAAAACATATTTTAAAAAAATAGAATGTCTATAAAAAATAATAATAATTGGGAGGAGTGAAGTTGAGAACAAGGTGGTTTATTTTGCCCCACCAACCTTCCTGGTTCTCCAAATCCACCTTTCCTAGAGCAGTTCTTGCCATTTGATGACTTAGGAGAAGAAGTATTTGTATGGAGGAGAGGGGGTTGTATTTTGCTTTGTAAAAAGGAGAGAAGAAAATTCCACCTGAACCAATTGGAAGTCAGAAGTCCTTTAAGTAGACACCTGCTCTTCCTGTAATGGCAGTTCCCACGTGGCCCCGTTTACTTGTTTATATTATCTGTCTGGCCCTTTGGGTCACCTGAGTTTTCACTAGATAATCTGTAAGTCCCCTTCCATCTTAATAAATCTAAACATTTTAAAATATTTCGACAGTGCTGAGCCCCCACAAGCAGGTATTCCCTCCTCTCCTGGCAAAATATCACCAATATAAACACAAAGATGCAACCCTTGTTCTTCAGTTAAATCCCCAGCAACCATAAAAATCCCCAGCACCTATAAGGCACTCAGTAAGTATTTGTGGAATGAAGTATTCAGGGTTAGCAATTACCTTTGGAAAGGGTCCATGAAGATTAACAGAGCAAATGAGTGTTTAAGAGGGCACAGAATCACCTTAATTGCAATATCATTATGTTTTATGTTGCCCAATAGAGAGGGATAGCCAGCTTTAAATGTTTTGGATTAAATATTTTGTAGTTTAACATGTCCTGGGTACAAATACAGCTTTTATAGTGTATTTTTTATTTCTATTGAAGGCTAGGTATATATCCTGAGCAGTAATGAAACAAAAAACAGTAAGCCTGATACTTAAAGGAATAAAGAGTTCACTTCTTTGATTGAGATTAGGCTTAAATACTTCACTTTTCTGAAAACCAGGTTTCTGAATGGAGCCAGGGTGGGGATAGGTGACAGAACAGTACCCCCTTGTGTTTAGTGTTGGGACTTAACATCACCTTTCTTAGCTGACGGCCCCTGAGAGTTAACCCATACATGCTCCAGGCACCTTGATAGACGCTAGGGGGCGTCACCGAACAAAACACACCCAGCTCCAGAGATTTCATGAAAGACTCATCAATGATATAATCATTCAAACACATATTGAATTTTAAATTGCAGTAACTGTTTTGGAGACAAGGGTATGGTACTTGGAGAGTGATTCATCTTTATTCTCTGCCTCACAAGATAATTAGCATAACATAGACTAATGTATTGAGAACCCTATATGCTCAGGCAGTAAGTATGCTAAGCACTTCTCATGCATTATCTCATTTCATCTTCTCAAATAGTATAGGCAGGTAATGTGTAGATAAATAATTTTCACAAAATCACACAACTAGAAAATGGTCAGACTAAGATTTTAACTCCCATATTGGTTACTAACTAGGGGGTGGGGGTATAAGCAACCCAAGATACTAGAACAGTTTCTTAAATATGAGGAATGTGTGAACTCATCTTAAAGTTCTCACGGATTTCCCCATCACTATATCCAGGGTCAACTTGTAAAATAGGCTGTTAATAATTTAAAAACAAAACTTATAAGGGAGGAATATACAAAATGGAACTCATTGATTTGTTTATCATTATATACTTAAGGCTCATTATATATCAAACTGTGTAGGGCACTAAAGGTACAAAGCAGCTCTGAACTATTATCACCAGACAGGACAAAGGCTTTTCATACCAATATTTACTTTGTCAAGTCAAAGTTACTTCATGTAAACAAACGAAACAAACTAGGAATTTTCTGTACAGAGGCCGCTTACTTAAAATTGCTCTAATTTTTCCACAGCATCTTCTCAAACCTTTGATAACAGTCTCAGAGAAATGCTCAAAATGGAATTGCTTTTTAAATTGTTAAAATTCTTGATAAGCTCTGAGCTTAATTATACTGATGACTTTAAAGATAATAACATTTTAATGCATGATATAAATCCCTATGAGTGTGAATTTTTAAATCCTCAAAATTAGTCACAATGAGCATACGTTAAAAGGCATTTCCCCAAACACATTTCATTTTGTGCTCATAAAACCCCAGAAAAAAAGGAGTTCTCTACTTTCATCCCTTTCTAGAGGATTAAGCAAGCCCAGTGGAGTTTGCCCCTGATCCAGACTCTAAACTAAACCATTTCATGTGGACTTCACAACGACATTACAAAATCCCCTGTACTGTTTTGCTATTTCGGCCTTGATAGGGATATTATTATTAATTGACAACTTATTTCAAAAATTCATGTTAAGGTAATTCTTTTAGTATGAAAGGGACCGTTGTTTTGAAGCAGTCTGAAAAGTATTATCTACTGTCCCAGAAGCAACTGTTGTCCTTAACAATGGTGAGGTCCATGACCTATTGTTGACTATAGTGGCAAAGCTCGCAAAATGGCTCATCTGTTAGGCATCACTTGGTTTTGCAGTGGAAAAAAGTCCTCAGGCTGACAGAATCGCACACTTCAGTTCCTTTCACTATGAGCAATGACCAGGAAATTTCTAGGAAAGTAATGCCATCTAGTGGTAAAATCACGCCAATGTATTGTACCCACAATAAATTGCCAATAAATATATAAAATAATTATTCAGCCATAACAGGGAATGAAATACTCGTACATGCTACATCGCTGATGAATCTTGGAAACAAACTAAGTGAAAGATGCCAACCCCAAAAGGTCACAAATTGTATGACTCCATCCATATGAAATAGCCAGGAGAGGTAAATCCATGGCGACAGGAAGCTCCTTAGTGAGGCCAGGGGCTGGGTGAGAGGACAGCAGGGAGGGACTGCCTAATGGGCAGGGGATTTTCCTTTGCGGTGCTGCACATGTTTGCACAACGTTGTGAATATACTAAATGCCACTGAATTGCTTGCTTTAAAACGGTTAATTTTATGTTATGTGAATGTATCCTCATTAAGACAAATTTTTAGTGAAATACATACATAGAACATATTAATGTATAATATCTGCATTTACACAAAGCATATGATAAACCATATGTTTCCTGTCATTTGTTGACTCAGATAGCGTTCTAGCTGCTACGAGCATATGAAGATCTATAATCCAGCTTCTCTCTTTAAAAATTACAAATCGATGGTGAAGAGTCATACATTCAAATACCAATACTAGAAGGTAGAATGCGATAGTGCCACAGGGAGATAAAAGACGACGACTCCGGTCAGCTGGATAAGAGCGGGCCACTCTTCACAGTAGGGGCCCAGGCAGGTGGCAGTGCGGGGAAGACACCTGGAGAAGGTGACTTTGAAGCTAGACTTTGATGAACCAACACACTGAGCTTAAATTTAGATACGGTGCCATCAAGCCCAACAAACAGTGATGTGCCTCTCTCTGGTGCCTGTTCTAGCCCTGAGATCCAGGCACTGACATTCTGAAAGGCAGCTCTGAACTAGCAGGCACGAGACAAGTAGTTAGAAGAGAACTCTCACCACCTGCCACTTTTTAAAGTTTCAGATTCCTGTGAATGCAGCTATCCATATTTATTTGTCTATTTATTTTTCTCCATTTCATTTTCTTTTTTCCATCATCATTTATCCCCCCATACCATCCCTGACCACGCACCGCTTTGGCTGAGAGCTAGGAGCAGTATATGGAGTCCCGGACACCCAGAGCTGGGGTAGGTGATGGGGAAGGGTGGTGGTTTGGGAGAGTTCGCCCCATCATATCAGAGCCCAGATCCAGGCAGGCTGACTTGGCCAATCAGATCAGAAGTGAGTGAGCAGAACTTAGATTCAGATGTGAGCATACCATGCTCATTCTTCCCGCCTAGCATTTTTTTCTGCCTTGCTACCTTTGGGCAGTCATCTCATTTATTCACCATTATCATCATGCAGCAAATATTTACTAAGTACCAGAAACCATCTAGATCTTGGAAATATAAAAATAAAGAACCATTCTTGCCCACAAGTGCTCATAGTCTACAAAGGACTGATCTGTTAACAATGATCATACAATCACATACAGTAACTACTTTAATGATGATGTACACAGGGCACGATGGTACCAGGAGAAGGGACTCCTAAGTCTGATTGGGAGAAAGAAAAGGGCCAGTGTTGCCCAATCTTATCAAATCCAACATCCCTTCCGTTTGACTATCCTGAAGTAAAATTCCTGGATATAATTTACCTACTACAGAATTTTAAAAGAACCAACATAACACCATAAAAATTCATGCAAAGGAATAAAAAGAGACAGTAGTTTATAATACAAAATGTTTCGACAGGTAAATAGTCATAATGACATTAAAAGATAGAATGAAATAGCTTATGCCTATAGGTAGAATTACCATGAGTGTGACAGCTGGAATGCAGAATGATGCAGGTATATAGTGTTGGTACCTTAAATGCACAGCCATTCACAAAATCCTGTATAAGAATGTTCATGGCAGAATTATTCACAATAGCCAAAAGTGAAAACAATCCAGATGTTCATCAAATACCATATGATCTCACTTATATGTGGAATCTAAGGAACAAAATAAACTGACAGACAAAATAGAAATGGAGGCATGAATACATGGAACAGTCTGACAGCTGTCAGACTGGATAAAAGAAGGTGAAGGGATTAGCCAAAGAACATATGTGCATAATCCATGGACACAGACAACAGTGTAGTGATGGGGGGTGGGGTCTGGGTGGAAGGAGGAAGGAGAGCATCTGCAATAGTGTCAACAATAAAAATAAAGGAAAAGAGTTATAGTAAGCTAAGACTAATTTATCATTAAAATGTTTAAATATATTTAGTGTAGCTTAAGTGTACAATGCTTATAAAGTCTATGGTAGTGTACAGTAATATCCTAGCAT